ATCACCTGTGCAACCACCTCCCAGCTCAAGATAATGTTTCCTGTGGCCCCTCTCCTGGTCGATCCCCCCAACAAAGGTAGCCATTATTTTATCTTCTGTCACTTAGATTCATTTGACTGTTCCTGAACTTTATATGAATGGAAGCATGCAGTGTTCCACTAAGCATTAAGTCAGTGGTATTCTCACATACTGCAACATGGGGCAGTTTGTTCTTTTTCATTGCTGTGTAATATTCAATTGTGGGGATATATCATAATTTATTTACCTATTCTTCTGTTGATGGACATGAGGCTCTTTCCAGGTTTTTGCTGTTATGAATAAAGCTGCTATGAACATGGTGTACAGGTCTTTTGGTGGGCATAAGGATCCATTTATCTTATCAAGAGTGAAATTTCTGGGCAATAGGAGATATCAACAAACTGCCAAACACTTTTCCAAATTGGTTGTCTTTTTTCTAATACACAAAAATATTGTTTTAATTTATAAAGTCTTTTGAGAGCAAAAATCCAAAATATCCCCCCTGACCAAATCTTCATATTCTGTTTGTCTTCTGACAGATTGGCTATCCTGTGGATTACTGGCATGCCAATTTTAGATATACAAACCCTGACCTTGGCAATGTGCTGGCACTTTTCAAATTCATCTCATTAAATCCTCACCAAAAACTCTGTGGGCTGGGTAATCTCAACATGTGGCAGACAAGGACAATAAGGGTCAGAAAGGAGAAATACTTTGACCGAGGTCATACAACCAAATGAGTAGCACTCAAGGTCTCCCATGGAGGCTCTCACTGTTTCCCTACTAAAAGCAGGAAGACCAGTTTTGCAGCGATCACGAAGTTAGGGAAGCACAAGCTTAGGCACCAATCACCTCAGCTCTTGTTTTCCTCTTTAACCAGCTTATCAGTTCAAATATAATTAAATTCCGCAACAGCTCCTGAGTATAACTCCTCGTACAGAAGACTTCAATTATTATTATTTCACATTACACTCTGTGTCTGAAGACATTGCTACCCAGCTTGACAAGGGTAGAAAAATAAGAAGCTATAACCACTCTGCAAAAATCTAACATTGAAAGATGGCCACAAATCATAGGGTTTCACACAAAGGCATGGATTTGCAAGAAACCTACAGGTTTTCTATTTTCTACACAAGTCTCTACTGCGTGCAGAAGCAGACTTAAGTGGCATAAATCAGAAAATGATAATGGGAACTGAATGAAATTCTCATAAATCATGTTACTAAGTATAGTTACATCTTAGATGTGAAACCCAATTAAACAGATGGCCACATGCTGTCAGAATCAGCCCCTAATCAATAAAGATGTTCATTTTAGAAAATCACCTCAATTTTTCACTTCTTCAGTGAAGCAAAAAGAAGGCAGTTGGGGGCTAGGGGAAGTCCCAGGAAACCCAGTGGGGAAATGTATAAGAAGAAACTCCACCTGTCTTAATTTGTAGTCCAGAAAATCAGAAAGGAGAAAGAGAAAAGAAAGTCACCCAAAGGATTCCCTGTCATCTTGCCTGGGAATGTAATTTACAATGAGAGCAAGCACTGGTCATTAGGAAAATAGAAACAGCTTGAATCTCTTAATTAAAATACTGCTTCAAATTGTTCATTCCAAACCCCCTCTGCTCATCAGCTTTCAAGAAACCACTAGGTTACCCTAAAATGGCTATTTCTTCAGTAAACCTCTGATAGGATCAGCTCTTCCCAGATAAGGAAAAGGGCAAGCAGGGGTGAATCCTGGAGGCAGAATTATTATTAGACATACTTAAATCCCCAAAGGAGCACTAAGCATTCACTGACACTGGAAAGTGAGTGTGGAAACATTAGTGAAGAGTCTATCTCAATGCCTTTTCTTGCATAAGAGCTGATCTAATACATTCACTACATTGGTGAAAATTAAGTCTACTAATGCTAAGAGGTGATGAAAACACTCCTGTACTTTGGAAAATATTTGGTGTTATCTGGTAAAGTTGACTATTTGCATACCCTACAAGCCAGTAATTCCACTCCTAGTATATATCACAAACACTTTTTCAGGGGACATATACAAGAATACTCAGAGTAACACTGTTCATAACAACAAAAATCTGGAGGGGAAACACATAAGTCTGTCAACAGATAAGGTCTATAGAACAGATAAGTAATCTGGGGTACAGTCATGCAATGGAATATTTCACATCAGTGAAAAGGAAAAGACCTACTACTACATGTTACGTGGATGAATCTTAAAAACATTTTGATTGAAAAAACACAGTTGCTTAAGATTGCATGCAGTATGATACCATTTTTATTATGCTAAAAATAAGCAAAAATAAACAATATATTGTTTAGGGATACATAAGCGGTTTAAAATTTTTAAAAACATGAAAATGATAAACACAAAAGTCAGAACAGCGGTCACCTCTATGGTGAGGAAGAGGAAGGGGATGGTGAGGAGCACAGACAGATGCAATATCAGGAAGGTCCCGCTTGTTGGTTGGGTGGTGGGTTCATAGGCATATATTTATTTTATCATATGTTTTCTTATGTACTTTATAACTTTATATGTTCTAGAATGTTATATATATATTCTTTTGCAGGTACCAAATATTACATAATAAAACATTTTCTTTTAAAATGGATAATCCAAAGAATTTTCTATTGCCCAATAGGTTGTTCCAAATAATATTGCTATAATTCATATTATTATAAATAGTAGCTATAATTAATGTCTCAAATAGCATAAGTTCCTATGTAACATGTGAATCTTAATTCTCAGCTTGGAGCCATATCAAAACATTATGGTGTACGTTTTAAATATAAACAATTTTTATTTGTCAATTATACCTCAACAAAGCCGGGGGAAAAAAAGAAAGCAATGGTAGTTTCATGATAATAATGAATATTTTATAGTAAGGAGTGACATTAGAAATAATCAAAATATGTAACAACTGATTTGGTTAGATAAATTAATGCAGAAATCAAAAATTACTACCATCTGCTGGTTTTCCTTCTGTTCATTACTCAGACCAAAGTCCAGCAGAGACTGCCATTCCCAAAAGTGGCCACATGAGGGCGACTCTAAGGAGATGTGGCAGCTACAGCCTTCCAGCTGTCCTCTCTGACCAGGGTGTCCTGTCAGGATGAGGGCAAGCATGAAGGACCTACAGCAGGCAGGCAGAACACCTCAGTGAGAAGGTGGCATTCAAGTAAAGATTTGAAGGAAGTGGGAACACAAACCATGCAGATCACTTGGGGAAGTTTTCCATGGCAAACAGAGCCTAGGGTATAAATGTCAGGAGGGAAGAGTGTCTCATACTTTAGGAACAGGAAGGAGGCCAGTGTGGCTGGAACAGAGGGGAGGTAAAGGTAGTGTGATAAGAGGCTTCTGGGCCATCGCAAATAATTTGGCTTTTATTCTGGGTGAGATGGGAAGCTGATAATGGGTTCTGAGCAAAGGAGGGACATGAGATGATTGTTAAACATCTTTAAATGGCTGCCATATTATATTCAGAATAGACTGAAGGGGGACAAGGACAGCAGCAGGGAGGCCAGGGAGGAGCTATTACAGGTATCCAGTGGGGAGATGGTGGGGGCATGGTCAACGGTGGCAAATCTTTATAAACGTCATCCCTCGCATTTAACAAACAGCATAGAGATGTGCTTAAAACCATGAGATTAGATATTATCACCAAGGAAGATGAAGAACAGAAGAGGTGCAGAGGGGCTGAGAAACCAGCAAGGACTTGAGCAGGAGCAGCCCGCCCTCCCCACAACAGGTCACCACCAACCTGACTTGGTGTTTGTCATTCTCATGAATGTCGTCATAGTTTTACTACATATAAGTGTATCTCTAGACAATATATAAAATTCTTCTGCATGCTTTTCAACTTTATTTGGTATCATACTTAATATATTCTGTCAAGTTGGTTTTTCCCCACACAACCTAATATTTGTGAACTTCATCCATGTTATTACATGTCACTCTAGGTCATTCATTGTTCACTGCTGTATGGCATTTCTTTGTGCGAACATGCCCACATTTGATTCATTTTCTGGCAGAAGGACATGTAGGTAATTCTCGTGTTTCTGCTATGAGCATTGTCACATGGCCTCCTCACACGAGACTTCTCTAGGGCAATGGTTCTCAAACTATGTTAGAGTTACCTGGAGGGCTGAATAAAACACATTTCTGAGCCCCACGTCCAGGGTTTGTGAACAAGTCTAAAGTGGGGCCCAAAAATCTGCATTTCTAACAAGTTCTGCCATGATGCTGTTGCTCCCAGGACCACACTTTGAGAATCACAGCTCCAGGTACACGCCCAGAGCACAAATGACGGTCACAGATATGCGTGCACATCTTTGGCTTTTCTAGGTGTTGCCAAATTGCTCTGCAAAATGAGTGAACTGATTTACACTTCCACCAGCAGTGAGTATGTGTCCATGGTGCCAACACTTGATACTGTCTGATTTTTAATTTGTGTCAATCTGATTTTTAATAATTTTTTAAACTTACCATGGCATTTATAATTACATGTACCCAAAACATGTAAATAAAAGAAAATCAAGACTTTATATCCTACAGTTAATAAGAACATTTCCCAACTTTTCTTATATATGAATAGTCCCCCCTCAAGTTCTACAATCTGCCCAGTTACTTGCCTGTTTTCCCCATCAATCCTAGAAATAAACAAAATGATATGGGTAAAATCTGTAAGATCATTATGAGAGGAAAGTGGAAGTTTGCTCCTTTTCACGGCCAACTTCATTGTAGTGTTATGTATTGTAGTTGATTTTTTTTTTTTTTTTTACTCAATGGTGATATAAAGCTTTAAAAAAAAACAAAAGGTGAAGGGAATGAGGAAAATTGGGCATATGGATAGATGTTGGTGAACAACATACCTGGTCACTGTTGGGGGAAAATAAATAGCTCCCTACCCTTAACCACTGTCATGGAAAAGTTCCTTCCATTTTGTACCAGATTAACAAGGAAACCAAAAGCGGAGTACTCACGGATCTGGTTGGTGGATGCACTGTAGAAGGCATTGACCGTCGTTGGATTTGTAAACCACCTGTAGAAAGACAAACAAATACCACCAAGTGATCCTCATTATCCAGGCAGGAGGGCAGCAACAAACACAACATGGTGGGATTTATTAGCAAACAACCAGGGAACAGTGGGGATGTGGGGCACGTGGGCAAATTATCACCTCAGTTTAGGACTATTGCTCTGCTCAATAAACAATCTCATCCTAAATTGAACATAGTTCAATGAGAATATATTAACATGCCTGGTTATTCACTGTTACTAACTTAGCGGAAAAAGGCAGCACCAGTGCTTCTGAAACAGCTTTAATGAGAAATTCTAGAATCTAAAGGCTCTCCCTGCAGATGGAAACACAGCAACAAGCTTATGTTTGCCAGGCCCTGTTCAATGGGTTCATGGGACAGCTGAGTTTCTATGCTGCATCACCTCTGACCTGTCCATTAAAACGTTCTGGATTGGTGACAACACAGAGGCCCTTGTAAAGAGAAATGAATAAAGTACAACCATGCTACCCAGAGGATCTGCCGACTCTGGTGGAAGTTTGCTGATTTAAGCACTGAAAAATAAAATGACTCATTCTGCCACTACCACAAACTAGCTGGGTGGTGTTGGAACAGCTGCCTATCTTCCTGGGGTTTAGCTTTAGCTATAAAATTAAGGTATTGCATTAGGAGATCTTGAGAGGACCTTCCAGCTACGAAGAGTCTACACTCCATTTTAAATGCATGGTAGGTTACTTAGATCCAGATTCAGCAAAATTTTTTCTGTGAAGAGTCATATCATAAACACTTAGGCATTTTTCAGGCCAAGAGGCAAAATCAAGGATGTTATATACATACTTGTATAGTGAGAGAAAATGTTCCACAAATTTTTACTGACAAAATTCAAAATATAATAATAATGAATACCTTTTATAATACAGGCCTATTAATGAGAAGAATGGAATTCTTTGGGGGCAGGATAACATTTTGTTTAATTGGGGTTCAAAGTCAGTGCTTCCCATCATCAAATTATCTCTAAAGGAGCCGGCCTGGTGGCATAGTGGTTAAGTTCATGCGCTCAGCTTCAGTGGCCCAGGGTTCAGAACCCAGCTGCAGACCTACACACTGCTTGTCAAGCCATGCTGTAGCAGCATCCCACATTACAAAGTGGAGGAAGATTGGCACAGATGTTAACTCAGCAACAATCTCCCTCATGCCAAAAGAGGATTGGCAACAGATGTTAGCTCAGGGCCAGTCTTCCTCACCAAAAGAAAAAAAAATGTATCTCTAAAAATCATTCTTAGCTCATGAGCCATACAAACACAGGCGGCAGGCAAGGTTTAGCCCAAAAGCCCTCGTTTGCCAACCCCAGACCTAGATGGCTGTGAGTTTCAGCCACTATGCTTTTATGATTAAAACCAAACAATTTGTCTTAAGCTAAATTCCTTTAAATAAACTTGTATAAATCCCTTTCTAGAACAATAATTTTGCTAATTTATGTTTAATAGAATAAGTATGTCAGACTAATAACTTATGTCAGACTAATATGAAACTGGGAGGAAACCCAAGTGTCGATTCTAGTTGGTCTGCCCATACCTTCTCCCCACCTATAAAGAAGTCCATGAATAGGTCATTCTATTATCATTATTATTATTATTATTACTATTATTATTATTAGCTAACATTCACTGAGTACTTACTATGTCCTAAGCACTTTCTATTCATAGGTTCTTGCCCATAGTAACTATAGGAATTATTAGCCCATTTCCCAGACGAGGACAATGAGACTTACAAGCATTATAAATTTGCACAAGGTTTGGTCTGATCTCAAACCAATTCTCTTAAATATGATATTATACTTGAGACATTACTGGAAATCAAGAGAGTGTCCCTTCTCTTGTCAAAACAGAAACCTATACCCGTTTCCATAAATGTATATCCTTTTCCTTCAAATTTAGAATTAGTATTTCAATAAGCTCTAATGTTTAACACAAACGTACTGGCTGGCCTACTTTCCTAAGGAAATAAGTTGATGGGAAAGCACCTTTATTGACCAAACGTCACTACCTTTAGTAGGTAGAATTACGGCCCCAAAAACGATGTCCTTGTCCTAATCCCTGGATCCTGTGACTATGTTACATTACGTGGCAAAAAAGGACTTTGCAGGTGTAATTAAGTTTAAGGACCTTGAAATAGGAAGATTATCCCGGATTATCCAAGTGGGCCCAATCTAATCACATGAGCTCTTAAGAGCAGCAAACCTTCTCTGGCTGGAATCCAAGAGATGCAAAGGAGGAGGAAGGCAGAAGAGACGCTGGCAGAACAGGAAGTCAGAGAGATTTCAAGAGTGAGAAGGATTTGACATGCTGTTGCTGGCTCTGAGACGTAGGGGCCACGTCCAAGGACCAGAGAGAGACCTCTAGGAGCAAAGAGTGCCTCCCAGCTGATGGCCAGCAAGTGAGGAGGGACCTCAGTTCTACAGCAACAAGGAACTGGATTCTGCCAGCATTTGAATGAGCTTGGAAGAGGATTCTTCCCAGAGCCTCCTGCTAAGAGCCCAGCCAGCTGACACCCTGATTTCAGCCTTACGAAACCTGGAGCTGAAAAATTAGCCAAGCCAACCCACACTTCTGACCCAAAGAACTGTGAGATAATACATTTATGTTGTTTTGAGTTGCTACAGTTGTGGTAATTTGTTACAGCAACAACAGAAAACAAATACACCCAAAGAAGCAAGCATTTGTGTGTCTGCTGTTTGGGCCAAGAGGAGGATCCAAGCGCCTCTCAACTTGGCTTCTACATCACATTGGACTGAAACATAATACGTACAAAAGATTATACGGATTCCTAGAGCTCATCCTTTGTCTTCCCATCTCTCCCAACTCCCCTCCCTTTAGCACAGAAGAAACTTCCAAAACATTAGGGTAAGAGCCATGCAAGGAAAATGTTTCTAAATGCTGATGGACAAAGGTGGACAAAACAAAGAAATCAAACAACCAGATGGGGCCCCATCTGATGGGGCCTCTGAAGCTTCGGCAAGAATACCTAAAACATCTTATTTCAGACACACGGTCTCACCTTTCCTGACCTCCCAGAGCTCTTGCTGACTCTAGGCCACGTTAGGAGCCTTGATTAGACCCAGAACTGAGATTAACTGTCTGCACCAGTAGATCCTACCATTGCGGATGCTATGATTTCTTCTTATTGGTCAGTGCCCACACCAAATCAGCTGTTAAATATTCTGTATAGCACCCTGATTATATCCAAGTTTATTATATACTTAGTTTCATTATTCTCTAATGTAAGACTACCTGTGCTGGTTTTAATATGTGTTTGCAATTTTTTTCCCACTCCTCCCATTAAGAGGTGGAATCTAAATTCCTCTCCTCTTGCTCATGGGCTAGCCTTCATGACTCGCTGCTAAAGTATAAAATGCCATGGAAATGATACGGCATGACTTCCAATGCTAGGCAGTTAAAGCTGATACTACCTCCCCCTGGTGTGCACACGTGTACCCTCCCTCCCTTTCTCTTTCTCAGGAAACTTGCTCTTGGATGTTTCTTGCTTAATCAGCCCAGTACACATGGAGAGGTCATAGCAGGCAATCCAGCCAACAGCCAGCACCAACCACTAGAGGTCAGAGAGGAAGCCTCGCACATGACTCCAGCCCCAACCACTAATCTGACTGCAGCTACATGACAGACCATGAGCGAGAACCACCCAGCTTACCCTAGTGACCACCAGAGCCACGAGAGACGAGAATGAAAAATGATGGTTGTTTTAATCCTCCAAATTTGAGGGTGGCTTGTTATACAGTAGATAACTGAAACACTGAAAAGTTGGCTGACCACATACTGAGTCCTACCCAATAGGTTGAATTTTCCCATAAAAATGTTTCATTTTGGGGGCTGGCCCGGTGGCCAAGTGGTTGAGTTCACACGCTCCGCTGCAGGTGGCCCAGTGTTTCGTTGGTTCGAATCCTGGGAGCGGACATGGCACTGCTCGTCAAACCAAGCTGAGGCGGCGTCCCACATGCCACAACTAGAAGGACCCACAACGAAGAATATACAACTATGTACCGGGGGGCTTTGGGGAGAAAAAGGAAAAAAATAAAATCTTTAAAAAAACATGTTTCATTTTGCCCAACGCAATGGTTTTAAAAAGTACTGAATTGGAATTCTTTAAATGAGGTGTTCAATCACCAGTTCTGCACAGTCCTCACCACTCCCCACGATTTACACTTGTATGATTAACAAACGGTCACCATTTGTTAACTGATTGGGCCCTGAAGGCATATGAGCCTGCACAACTCACCTCCCCAAAATATTTTAAGTTCCTTATTGTCCAAGTGGTATATGCCAAGCAGAAGATAACTAAATCTATTTAAATGAATTTACTGCTATGTATACATCTACCTGAATAAACAAAGAATGTCAGTCAAGTGCTTTAAATTCTTCTTACTATGTCCTTAGGGTGTTCCTGCAGTCTGTGTCTGTGGAAGGATTTAGTGGAAAAGGTAGGAAGAGATCTCATATAAATTTTAAATCCAAAAAAGTATGGAGATGAAATTATACTGGACAATGGGATACATAAAAGGAGTGTAATACTGAAATACAATAATCTAAAGGAAAAGACATTGGTACTCTGATTTCTGTGGACCATGTAAAATAGAGATACATCAGGCTAAAGTTTTACATTTTACCTATCAACTCATAAAGATAATTTAGGGAATATGGAATGGAAAAACCATAGAGTATTAACTGCTTTATTTCTAATATCTGTAGATTAAAGCCTTCTCATTCTGTACTATAGATAATGCTTTTGCAAACAAAAATTCTGGGCAGAACCATAATTTGTATGGACACTTGATGTATTGTCACATATTTTTTCAAAAGCTAGAGAAAGAAAATCCAGACATGTTTGGTTACAGTAGAATGAGAGTGACTTAATAGGGAAGCTGGCTTAAAATCATTTCTGTCAAAGAAAGGGGATCCTGAGGGAAAGAAATTACTTTTGATTCAAGCAGAGCAGTGAAGTAAATCCTCTATTTTTAAGCAAGCTGATGAAATGACAATTCTGAGAACCAACCCCTAAATATGTACCTTCAGGGATGACCACCCAATTAATTTCATTCTTGCTGACATTCCCCATCGTGTTAGAAACTTCTTAATGCACATTAGTGCAGCTAAAATGGATTCCATGAGAATGAAAGATACAGGGTATTTATCTCCTATACTCACAAAGAAGCAAAATGTTATTTCAGGGCTTCGTGGAAATATAATCATGATGTGCTGTTCAAAGGAAACTAGCGTCATGGAGCTACTCCAGAATCATCCCCACTCGATTAACTTATGAATTTTCAAACCTAAAAGATGTCGATTAAAGCCAATGGGCATTATGAGGCTAAAACTGTCTATAATGTCTGAAAAGGACAAGCCCGAAATTTCTTTTAAAAAATGGACTATCATATCACTTACTGTGCAATGAGGACCTTAAATTTCTTAACATTGCTTTCCCTGAAATAGACATACAGTCTGAGGACACAAGAATTTCTAGCATTGCACTGATTTTCATTTCTGGAGATCATTTCCAGAAACATTAACCAATTTAATGCCCTTGTGAGAGAGGTATTTGTTTTCATTGACAGAGAAGCAAACTACACAAATCACAGTTTGCCTAAGCCCACAAAGTCAGCCAGCATTTTTCTAAGGCATGAATAAAATATTAGAAATAGTCCAGGTCATTAGAATCTGACAGCCCATCAGTATTTTAAGATAAGATTAAAGATGACACATTTAGGAGGTTTTCAATTAGCAACTCAGGACTTGCTGCACACCCAAATGAATAACAGTATTTTGAAACTGAAGAATTAACTTGGCAGCATCTTCAATATGGCGGAGTCCCTGAGAAGACCCTGAAAATTCACAAAAATACTGGTGAGATCCTTGAACTTTCCACAAGCTGCAAAAAGAAGAGTTTGAACTGATCTGAAGTAGATCTGAAAGGGCAGGATGACTTCGATAGATCTGTGACTACCATACTATATGCAGATGCTCACTGGGTTATTGGAAACCATTTGCTGAAGTCATTGAATTTGAGAAGCTAGTTTTAGAATCCTAAGTCTAAAATTTCTATTGAATAATTTGGGTTGAGAATGAAAGAGGAGAGATGGACTGAGAGATACTGTGATGAGAGGAGAGATTCAAAGACAGTGGAGCAGATGGCTTTAAACCAGTTGTCTGTCATTTCCAAAGATGTTCTAAAGCCTTCTGCTTTCTTCCTTTGTGCTTTTGATTGGAATCAGGAATGGGTAGAGGAGTGGTTCAGCTTTAGACCTACTTCTTACAGTCAAATACTTTTAACTAACTTTGTGGGTGTGTGTTGTAGAAAGGTTTGAAGGGCAGAGAGCAGGGATGGCTAAATGGGACCCATGACTAAGAGGGACAGGTGGCAATCACGAACCAAGGGAGGGTATGGGGACTAGAGTTCCTAGAGGCCAGAACAGAGCAGGGAGTTGGAAGGGAGAGTAACAAAAGACCCAGAGAGCATAAAAAGAGCCAGCCAAAGATCTGGACACCAGAATATCAGCCAAGGTTAAAAAGTGGGCTATGGAAAAAAAAAAGTGGGCCTTGGAAGCCAGGTTTCCAGCCACAATGACATGAAAAGGTCAACAAATCCTTTCCATAAAAATCAAGCAAAAAACTGGACAAAACTGCCAACGAACAACCATTTTATAGAGCTCTAGGAACTGATCAAATACCAACAACAAATTGAAAAACATTTAACTTTGAAAAACTTCTAGAGCTTGGGAGTAAGTAGAACAGGTGTGTGTGGCCTTCTTGCCTGGGACTGCTCCCATCCCTCTCAGCTCTGTCAGTGAGAACTTAGTTTTATCAGGATAAGGTTGGCCGCAAAATCAGGAGCTTTGCTGCCAAAGGGGGTGGACTCAGTTGGGGGTGGAGGTGAAAACCTGCAGCTCTGTCAGCTAAAAGTGGTGAACTTGGTTGAAAACAAATGAGGAAAACCCACAGCTATGCTAGCCTGAAGCTATAGTTCCCACTGGGGAGAGTGATGGACCAGCCAGAAGTTTAGAAGGGAGATCCTGGAACTGAAAGAGTCATAGATGGGCGAGATAAGCTCTCCATATATCCCAGGCTAACTGGGAAATTAGGCACATGTGCAGGGGAGACCTCAGAGAGCCCAGTAGAAAGTAAACCCCAAGGCCGACTGGGAACTGGTTGCACCCCCAACTCCCCACAGATCAATTGGCAGAGGGCAGAAGCCCTATAGGCTTGAGGTGTTTAAGCACAAACTCTGCCCTGATCCCCAGCTGAGTACTAAGCTATGTAGACACAGGGATATCCACTAGGAAGGGAGGCTAAAAACTAAAAATAAGAATTAAAAAGAATGCTCAGAGACATCCATGATCACATACATAGGGGAGACAGATTCTGTAGTGTAAATCTAGGAAAGTTACTTCTAAAAAAGCCTCAAAAAAATAAACCAGAATCCACAGTTGCTACAAAATATTATCTAAAATGTCATTTTCAACAACAAAAAATTATGCTATGCACAGAAAAAGTATAATAAAAAAAGCAATCAATAAAAACTGACTCTGGGTGAGCCCAGATGTTGGACTTAGCAAAGACTTAAAAGCAGCCATTATAAAGTATAGTCACTTGTCACTTAAGGATGAGGATATATACCAAGAAATGTGTCATTAGGCGATTTTGTTGTTGTGTGAACATCATAGATTGTACTTACACAAACCTACATGGTATAGTCTACTACACACCTAGGCTATACAGTACTAATCTTATGGGACCACTGTGTACATGTGGTCCATTGTTAACCAAAACATCATTATGTGGTGCACGACTGTAGACTAGAAAATTAAAATGAACTATAGTCAAAAAATTAATGAAAAATATGATGACAATGACTCACCAAAGAATCACAACAGAGAAACAGAAACTATAAAATACAACCAGATGGAAATTCTAGAGTTGAAAAGTACAATAATCAAAATGAAAAATTTGTTAGACAGGTCAATAGCAAATTTGAGAATGCAGAAAAAACAATCAGTGAATTTGAAGTTAGATCAATAGAAATTATCCAATCTGGGGAACAGAGAGAAAAAACATTGGAGAAGTGGGCTATAGCAGAACAGAGTCAAAAGCACCAGCAGGCAGAACAAAACGTAATCTAAACCTGAGCAGAAGTTGTTCTCAATTGTAAGCCTCTTATTCATTTGTAAAATGGGGCTAATAAATAGTACCTAGATCTTACAGAATTGATGAGAGGATAAAATGAATTAAAACATGTAATGCACTTCCTGGCACACTGTAAACACATAATAATTGTTAGCTGCTATCATTATCATCATCATATACATTTTCCTAGGGAAAGAAATCATGGCTGGCCCTGGCCCAAAAATTCCTAGGGAAAAATTCCTACCTGTAGGGAAAGTTCCTACAGGCAGCTAGGAAGAAGGGGGATAAATCATAACTGCTATTGGAGGCAAATAATAGAGCTATCAGTTCTCAACAAATATTTCCTAGTTGCTTCATAATTATACAATTACTTCTACATTTGTAATCATACTTTATTTTTAAAATGTTTTTTCTTTTTTAAGATCTTCAAAAGTTTCTACCTGAGTGTGAAATTCTAGAGAAATTTGTTTTACATATATATATATATATATATATATATATATATATATATATATATATATTCCTAACTAGACCTAAAAATGAATTCAATGTCTTCATCCTAATAAGCCTTCTTTCGATATGTTTTGATGCTAGGAGTGGGGGAGGCCATAATTAGATTGAAGAACTGACTCATATAAAATCAGAAATAAGAGTTGCCAAAACATAACACAGATTTTGCCAAACCAAGATAACTGGCAAGCCAGCTACTCTGACTTGAGGGAAATTACAAAGTTTGATCTAAAGAGACTCCACTTTCCACCAACATATTTATGTATTTCATGTTTTTTTTTTTTTTACTCACTCTGTTTTTGGAACAGCTTTTCTCAGCCAGAAGAAATCAGATTGTGCTAAATACTTGCGGGTTTGCAGGACGTTGCCAAAGTAGTCAGATTCTGAAAACTTGATCTGAATAAAACAAACCACAATCATCATTGTTCTAAGTGCAGACAAGAGATGGCTCTGAAAAAAGACTTCAGTGCACAAATGAGAGACCAAGGGAGAGGCTGCACTCCTTATAGAATCTCTCAGCCATCACCGGTTAACCCAGTAGTCACAAAGCTATGAAATTTAATCTCAGTGATTTTCTTTAACAATAAAAAGCTCAAAAATCAATATGCTCATTTCTGGATCACAGTAGAAAACAAGAGAAGCTGCAGTAATTTACAATGCATTTCATTTGCTTTATAATTGAAAAATCTACTTTAACCTTTATAGAACCTATTACCCTAGGTTTGAAATTTCTTGGCCCACATGAGTCCGTGATCTTTTCTAAAATGTGTACTTTACTTATTTGTAACATAGGTTCTTCTAATAACATTCAGTTTAGTCAGGGGAAACCTCACTTAGCTTATAGATGATGATTTAGTCAAATGTTAAAATCCAACTTACTATAACCAGCATTTGCTCATGAAGGAAAAAAATGAAAGCAATTCAGAGACTTATTTTCCAACCTGAGCACAATAGTTACTAGAATAATTATTAATAGAATTTATCTATTAATACTCAAAAAATGCTCTGATCACTGAAAATTAATGGAATTATAGAGGCAAATCATGGATTACAGTTTGCATGGAGAAAACAGGAAGTTGATGGCTCAGAACAATGTTGTCTATTAAAATAGGGAAACAGACATAATTGATTCTTGAGTTCCTTTTCTTTTTTTGGAAGGAGAACGGCCAACAGTTTCAATTCTATAGGCACTCTATTTAGAAAACTAGCAGTACTTAACCTGAAGTTGTAAATAATATCTGTGTAATGGTAAAAGCAATGGTTTTTAATGATCTCTAAAGCTTTGGTTTTAACATATTGCTGTAGCAAATAAGACAAGAAAAATACATATTTGAATAAACAAATAAGCAAGAGTAATCAAATTCTTATTAGCTGTAATATTTTTATAAATTTAAACCATGATACTCATTTAAAAGAAAAAATAAAATACAGCAAATGAATGTATATGAAACCCACAGGCATTATATTACAGATATGAATATATATACACAACTTGATGGTTATAGACTTGACAGAGGCCTATTTGTCAGCCAATGTCTGACTCAGGTTTATCTCTTCCAAAACATATAGTGGGTACTCATTATGTCTGTACAGTAACTTTCGCTAATGATTAATCTTAATCTTTCCAGGGGGCCAACCCAAAATATAAAGAAAGGAACAAAATAACTAAAGTCAGGAATGAAAGTACCAATTCCTAGCATCCTTGGTGTTCTTACTTGGCCAACAAGTTATAAAAGATATGACTTTAAGTTGTCCCTCCCTCAATCCTCTTAGGGATGTGGCTGAAAAATAAATGGTGATATAGTCACATAAGAGAAAACAATACAGCAGTTTAAACAAATGATCTGTATGTTTGAACACGAAATAATCTCAAGAGCAATGCTGAATGAATAAGGCAAGTTGTATGTATGAGAGAATTTAAAGTTTTAAAACATGTAAAACTACTATATGTTGTTTATGGAGACATACCTATGTAGCAAAAGCATAAAGAAATGCATCAAAATGATAAATACTGAATTCAAGATAGTGTTTATATCTAGGGAAGGAGGTAGCAAGGAGGAAGGACAAGGGTTAGGAAGGATTAGGTTTACACAAGGGACTCCAGAAAGAATTTCCAACGTATCTGTTTTATTCACTTAAAATGTGTATGTGGAACAGGAACAAGACAAGGATGCCCAGTATCACCACTCTTATCCAACATAGTACTGGAGGTTTTGGCCAGAGCAATTAGGCAAGAGAAAGAAATAAAGGGAATCCAAATAGGGAGCGAAGAAGTGAAACTCTCGCTGTTTGCTGATGACATGATCTTATATATAGAAAACCCTAAAGAATCTGTTGGAAAACTATTAGAAATAATTAACAACTACAGTAAAGTTGCAAGGTACAAAATAAACTTACAAAAATTCAGTTGCATTTCCATACTCTAATAACGAACTTACAGAAAGAGAACTCAAGAATACAATTCCGTTTACAATCACAACAAAAGGAATAAAATACCTAGGAATAAATTTAAGTAAGGAGGTGAAGGACTTATACAATGAAAACTATAAGACATTATTGAAAGAAATAAAGAGATGGAAAGAGATTCCATGCACACGGATTGGAAGAATAAACATAGTTAAAATGTCCATACTACCCAAAGCAATCTACAGATTCAATGCAATACCTATCAGAATCTCAGTGACATTCTTCACAGAACTAGAACAAAGAATCCTAAAATTCATATGGGGCAACCAAAGACCCCAAATAGCTAAAGCAATCCTGAGAAAAAAGAACAAAGCTAGATGCATCACAATCTCTGACTTCAAAATGTACTACAAAGCCATAGTAATCAAAACAGCGTGGTACTGGTACAAAAACAGGCACACAGATCAATGGAACAGAACTGAAAGCCCAGAAATAAAACCGCACATCTATGGACAGCTAATCTTTGACAAAGGTGCCAAGAAAATACAGTGGAAAAAAGACAGTCTCTTCAATAAATGGTGTTGGAAAATCGGGACAAACACTTGCTAAAGAATAAAAGTAGACCATTATCTCATGCCATACACAAAAATAGATTCAAAATGGATCAAAAACTTAAAGATAAGTCCTGAAACCATAAGACTTCTGGAAGATAATATAGATAATACACTCTTTGATGTCGAACTTAAAAGGATCTTTACAAATACTACATCCTCTCAGACAAGGGAAACAAAATAAAAAATAAACAAGTGGGACTTCATCTGACTAAAGAGCTTCTTCAAGGCAAAAGAAACTAGGATCAAAACCAAAAGACAACCAACCAATTGGGAGAAAATATTTGCAAATCATATATCAGACAAGGGGTTAATCTCCATAATATATAAGGAACTCACACAACTGAACAAAAAAACAACCTGATCAAAAAATGGGCAGAGGAAATGAACAGACATTTTTCCAAAGAAGATATACAGATGGCCAATAAACACATGAAAAGATGTTCAATGTCACCATCATCAGGGAAATTCAAATCAAAACTACACTAAGATACCACCTTATGCCTGTTAAAAGGGCTATAATCACTAAGACTAAAAATAACAAATGTTGGAGAGAGTGTGGAGAAAAGGGAACCCTCATACACTGCTGGTAGGAATGCAAACTGATGCAGCCACTATGGAAAACAGTATGGAGACTCCTCAAAAAACTAAAAATAGAAATACCATAAGACCCGGCTATCCCACTACTGGGTATCTAACCAAACAACTTGAAATCAACAATCCAAAGTAACATATGCATCCCTATGTTCATTGCAGCACTATCCACAATAGCCAAGACATGGAAACAATCCAAGTGTCCATCGACTGATGATTGGATAAAGAAGATGTGGTATATATATATACAATGGAATACTACTCAGCCATTAAAAAAAGACAAAGTCATCCCATTTGCAACAACATGGATGGACCTGGCGGGTATTATGCTAAGCAAAATAAGCCAGACTGAGAAAGACAAACACCGTATGATTTCACTCATATGTGGAATATAAACAAACACATGGACAAAGAAAACAGTTCAGTGATTGCCAGGGGAAGGGGGGTGGCAAGTGAGCATAGGGGGTGAAGGGGAGCACTTACGTGGTGACAGTCAAGAAATAATGTACAACTGAAATTTCACAATGATGTAAACTATTATGAACTCAATAAAAAAAAAGAAAGCAAAAAGTGTGTGTGTGCGTGCATAAAGCTAATATGGTAATATGTTTAATATTTGTTAAAGCTAGAGATGTTCAAAATGTGATTTTATATACTTTTCCAATGTTTGAGACACTTCATAACAAAATGAAATCTTACAATTGATTGCATTTTAAGACAGACATTTATACTCAGCCTCAGAAGAACCAGAACAAGCTCCTTGTTCTAGGAAGCAAGTTTAACTAGCCATCCTAATGCATTCCTGAATCATATAGTTAAAAGATGTGTCCACTGTTCAATCTTTAGCCTTTTTCAGCTTTTGTTCTGAAGACAGCTCTGCCAGTACTTTCAGAATATGATTGTAACTGACAGAAAATTCAGATATGTTCTTGAGTTCAAATTACTTTCTGGGAAATTCTTCCAAAGGAATTTCCTTCAAAAGTATTAGGGGTTTTTTTTGGGGGGGGGGGTGTAATGTCAGTTGTTACTTTCAGAAGAGTTTGCTAATCATGATACTTTCCTGTTCCATTTGAAAAAAAAAAAAAAAGCTTGACATTCACATTGTTCTATAGACAGTAAATGGAAAACCATGCAAAAATTTCCTAATGAAGAGTCCCAACTCCAAAAATACTTTAAATAAGTTCCTACCACAGCCATGAAAATCATCATGGGGAGCAAAACTCAGAGGCACGTAATTACAATTTGCCAACAACTTACCTATGCTTAGAAGGACAATTTTTAAATTGTTTTAATTATTAAACTGAGACTATTTGCTATTTCTTAGCCAGGTTTAATTGATCTACTATTCCATTTATTTAATGGAAATCACAGGTAATAGGAAACAAATTTTACTTTTTCCTGTGAGACAGGTTAAGTGTTTAGGGGTAGGGAGGAGCCAGCCACTGTCATTCCCATATGATAGATGGGAAACAGAGCTAGAGAGATCATGGAACTTGGCAAAGCCATACAGTCCAAATCACTAGGCTCCTACTACTTCAATGTTATCTTCATTGGCCCTAATAAGAAAACTGGTGACTCAAAAGAAAGAGTACAGAGAAGGAGGAGGAGAAGGTAAGAATTATGGGTGGAAGGAGAAGCAGTGATTAAGTAAATCATGGTACAGTTTACTTAATGTCATACTGCGGTTAAAATAATGGTAATGAAGGCTATGGAAGACAAGGATAAAACAATATGTTAACCATAAAGGTCAGTATACAAAATTATATACAAGCATCAATTACAGCT